CCTGAGCATCTCATCAAGGAGTGTAGGAGAAGGCAAGGTAAAGGGGGCAGATGCAGTAGGAGGACAGTAGTGAGCCCCTGCAAAGACCAAAAGAAGGCCAGGTTCTTGGGCCCCAGGTCACAGTGACCACTGGCTGACTGTCTAGCGCAGCGGGGGAAAGCGAGGGATGTTGCTAGAGAACTTGAGCAGCCCAGTAGAGGGGCAGCAGGGATCCCCCAGGATTGAAGGAGTTAGGGGAGTGACGCAGCTAGATGTGCTCTTCAGGAAAATCTGTAGCATACTTAGAGGTGTCACTGAGACTTGGTGGAATGAGACTCTGGCCAAGGAGATGGACCAGATTGTGCCCGTCCAGGGGCAGCTAGACGGTGCAGTGGATACAGCCAGCCCTGGATTCAGGAAGACCTGAGTTCAAACCTGGCTTCACTTCACCCCACTGCCACACACACACACACACACACCACACACACACACACACACACACACACAGATGACGCTGTCCATTCAAGTCTTGTCATGCAAGTCTGGTCCAGGAGCCAGAAAGGTCAGTGATGCAGAATCCACAGAAGGGATTTTGTTATTGGAATAGATGGCAGGTGAGTTTGTCAGGAGCGGGTTGGAGCTTCAGACCACGGCTGGAATGTGCATTCTCTTGCAGTGTCCCTCTGTCACGCTCTGTCTCTCTCTGTGCCACTGTCTGCCTCTGTCTCTCCTTGTCTCTCTCACTGTCTTTGCCATTGTTGTCTCTCACTTTCTCTGGCTCTTTATCTCTGGCTGGCTGTCACTGCCTCTGTCTTTCTCTGTTACTCTATCTCTGTTATTTCTTTAGTCATTCCTAACTCTTCTCTCTGCCCAGAACAGCAGCCCTCACCTGCCTCCGACCCTGCTGAATGTGTGACCCTGGGCAGGTCTCTTAAACCTCCCCAAGCCTCAGTTTTCTCCCCTGTAAAATGGGGATCATATTGGCATGAAAAAGAAGCAGTAAGAGAACTCCAGTTGGAATTAGACAGGCTCCTTTTGAATGGGGCCCAACTGGTGGGCCAGGGCCATGCCACGGCTGGCTTTTAGCAGAGTGTGAGATTATACACACACATATATACACATAGATTCATGTCCTTGTAAGCAGGATTCTTTTTTTTTTGGCGAGGCAATCAGGGTTAAGTGACTTGCCCAGGGTCACACAGCTAGTAAGTGTCAAGTGACTGAGGCCAGATTTGAACTCGGGTACTCCTGACTTCAGAGCTGGTGCTCTATCCACTGTACCACCTAGCTGCCCCACTGTAAGCAGGATTCTAATTCATGGCTTGTGGAGCAGACAGGGGCTCCCTTAGAGTACCAGCAACTCTGTCCCTAACCCTATCGTGTTCAAAGTTGTTCCAAATCAAGGCTTAAATGAAGCTGAGAAGGCAGCGGGGTGGGGAGTGTGTGTGTGGGAGAGAGAGAGGAGAGAAGAGACAGAGATAGAAGGTGAGAGAGGAAGAGGGGAGAGAAGGAGGGAGACAAAGAGAGAAGGGAGAGAAGAGACAGAAGGTGAAAGGAGAGGAGAGAACAGGGGAGAGAAGGAGGGAGATAGCAAGAGAGAGAGAGCCTGCCTCACTGTGAGGAAGGCCTGCGAATTTCAAGTTCCTTCTGAGCCAGCCTGTCCTTCAGGCCCCCGGGTGCAGTCAGTCAGCTTTGTTAGAGGAAGCTCCCTCTTGAATTCCTCTGTGCCCCCGGGAAGTCGCCAGTCCAGCCTGGCTGAGGCTCTTGGGACGGTGGAGGGAGCTTGTCTCCTTGTGTCCCCTCCCTTAGCTGGACCCCACCTGCAATAGGATGTCCCTCTGGGGTGCCACATGTGGAGAAGAAAGTCAGACAGTGATGAGAAAGGGAAAGAATCTGAAAGGCTGTGGGAGCCGTGTTGGGAGCATGAGGGTGTTGAGCTTGAAAGGGGGAAGACTCGGGTGTGGACAAGACCGGCCCTGAAGGAAGATCGGGCCTAAGAAGGGATCAGATTGGAAGGGAGAGTGACTCCATGGGGAGCCTGTCATGAAAACCCAGGGAGGGACCACATCGAGCCCGGGGGCAAGTTGGAGGTGGAGGCCTTCGAGAGTGCCGTGCATGGCACCCGCTAAAAAGAGCCTCACGCTCCTTGCTGAGCCGTCTCAGTCGCCTAGTGAGGATGGGACCCAGACTATGGCAAGTGAGAAAGTAGAGCGCTTGGGGGGGAGCCTGACTGTGAAAGAGAAGAGACCTAGAGCATGATTCTGAGGTTTGTGGAGAAGAGGGGGAAACAGGCTCACTGATGCATTGTGGGTGCAGCTGCGATGCCACTCACAGGCCTAAGGTACCCTCACGCTCCAGTCCATGCTGCCAAGCTCCACAGACACTGAACCGCCGGGGGCAGCCAGCCCTTTGGGTGGGTGGTCGCCAAGAGCTGGCGGCTGAGCGTCTGCTCGTCCCCTGGTCTGTGAGGCCAGCAGCATGAGACCCGGCGAGGTTTACACAGCCTGACGCAGAGTGAACCGATCCGTGCAGAGAAAGCCGCGTGCCGGTGATGACTGTGGTCTAAGAGGAAAGAACCCTCACCCCAAGACGTCCAGCATGAGCATCAGACTGTCAGTGCCCTCGGCCCAGAGGGGGCCGGCCTGGCAGAGCACCCCAGATTGCTCTGGCTGGTTTTTGATGTGGTGACCAACTGGGTGGAATTTTTGTTTGCTTTTTCTTAAAAGATAATTCTTGTTGAAAGGGATGTCCTTGGGAGGCAACGGGTCAGTAAATGTATGTGAATGATGTGGGTAGGTTTGAAGGCCACAGGAGACCCGAAATGAGTGTGAGGAGGCGGGATGGCGCTTCCAGGGACAAGGACCTAGAGAAGGACCGGGCCTCCCTCTGCCCCGCCTCTCCCAGCCGTCCTGCTCATCTGCTGTCACTCAGGTTCCTTCTGCCTCCTTCTCTGCCTTTGGCTGTGCTTATATGAAGAGGCGCCCCTTCTCCTTGCCAAGAGATCCCACCCTCCAGCAGACTGCCCCCCTCTCCTCCTCTTCTCTCCTCCCCTCTCTTCTCTCCTCTTTTCTCTCTCTCTCTGTCCCCTCCTCTCTCTCTCTCTCTCTGTCTCTCCCCTCCTCTCTCTCTCTCTCTCTGTCCCTCTGTGTGTGTGTGTCTCTCTGTCTCTGTCTCTCTCTCTGTCTCTCTCTCTGTGTCCCCTCCCTCTCCCTTTTTCCTCCCTTCCCCCCCCTCTGTCTTTATCTCTTTCACTGTCTGTCTGTCTCTATTTCCTTTTCTCAGCTCAATGACTACGGTCAGTGCCTCCACTTCCTTTCTTCTAAACCCTCTTCAGTCTGACTTCCAGTCTCATTACTCAGAGGAAACTTTTCAGCATCACAAATGATTCCTTGATTGTCCAGTCCAGTGGCCTTTTCTTAGCCCTCATCCTGCTCGGCATCTCCAGCCTCTGACACCACAGATCTCCTGGTTCTCCTGTCTGGCAGGCAGACCACTGGCTAGGGATCCCTCCGGACCTTGGGTGTCCCTCAAGGTCCTGTCCATCTTCTCCATCTACCCCACTTCACTTGGGGGATCTCCTCAGCACGCATGGCTCTAATTCCCATCTTATGCTGATAATTCTCAGGTCTCCCCATCGTGCCCCAGTCTCTCAGCTAACCTCCAATCTGGCATCTCCTAATTGCCTTTCAGTAGACATCTGAAACTCAACATGTCCAAGACGGAACTCGTTCTCTTTCCCCAAAACCCTCCCCCCACCACTTACCTTCCCTGTTACTGTAGAAGGCAACACCATCCTTGCCCCAGTCCCTCAGGCTGCCAACCTAAGCATCAAACCAGACTTCTCCCTCTCCTCATACCCCCCATCCAATATGGTGGCACAGCCTATTTCCCCTCTGCAGCATCTCTCTCCTCTGGGGCAGGTCCTCATCACCTCATGTCTGGACTATTGCAGTAGCTGCTGGGGGGGTCTGCCTGCCTCCGGTCTTCCCCACTCCCATCCATCCTCCACTCAGTCAATAAAGTGAAGCCCGGGTTTGACCGTGCCAGACACCCTCCTCCCCGCTACTCAGTAAATTCTCTGTGGCCTCCAGGGTCAAGCACAAAGCACTGTGGCCTTCAAAGCTCTCTGTGACCTGCCCCCTCCCGCCTTTCCAGGCTTCTTACACCTTCCATCCCCAGCCTCCTGGCTATCCCATGAACAAGACCTTCTGTCTGTCGGCTCCCCCAGGCCTGGAACACTCCCCCTCCTCGGCTCCGACTACTGACCTGTCTGGCTTTGTTAAGGCTCCCAGATAAAATCTCCCTTCCTCCAAGAAGCCTTCTTTGCCCCCTCGCCCGATACGTGTGGTTCCTCAGTCTCTGTCCTGTTTGTGCAAGGGTGTTCACGTGTCGTCTTCCCTCTCAGACTGTGAAGTCCTGGAGAGCAGGGATTGCTCGCCTCTCTTTGTGTTTTGGGCACTTGGCACACAGTAGGTGCTTAATAAGTGCTCATTGAGTGGCTGAGGCAGCTTCGAGGAGAGAGAGCACATTGGCAGCCACGGTGGGTCAGACAGGTTTTCCCAGGGGATTGCCCGATATGAGCCAGGAAGGAAGGTGGGGGTTCCAAGTCTGGGGCACAGCCTGCTTCAATGCCTGGAGGTGGGAGGTGGGGAGATGAGTTCCGGGCACAGCCGTCCGTCAGGCCAGCCTGGTTGGGACACGGTCAGCCGTGTAGGTGGACAAAGGTTGTCACGCCAGGCCCAGCCGGTTCAACTTTGTCCTGCGGCTGCAGAGTTCTGACAGGGAATGGGGGTGGGCAGTTAGATCCATGCCTGCCAGCCGTGCAGACGACAATACCGGGCGCTCACTGGGCAGGAGATCAGAAGGCGGCGGTGGCGAGTGTGTGTGTGGCAGGGACACGGCAGGATCATCCGCAGCCTCCCTCCGTCCTGTGACCTCCCGCTGCAGGGTGGTCTGGGAATGGCTGGGCTGGTGAGCATGCCGGGGCTGGACCTGACTGCGTCTGTGTGCCCTTTGCGCAGGGTGTGCTGATCTCCAAAGCCTGGACACCATGGCCCCGATGGAGAGAAAGAGGCAGGGCTACATTCACGAGCTGATCCGGACAGAGGAGAGATACATGGGTGACCTGCAGCTGGTCACGGAGGTGAGGCCCCAAGGGGGCTGAGGGTGGTGGTCGGCTGGGGGCCGAGGGTGGTGGCCTCAGGCAGGTAGCCCTCGGGGAACGCACCTACCTGCCAAGGTTGGCCTGGGCGGCTCCTTTTTATCCTGCACCTTTCATGAAGCTCCCTCACGGCATGGACCCCATGCCGAGGCTCCTGAGTTCAGGGCTCCCAGGCCGAGGAGGGTGTCTGAGCCCTCATCACCCCACCAAGAAGGTGGGGGGATGATGAGAGGGTGACTGCCCCACCCAGGGGCACAGCCCTGGCATAGCACAGGACGCCTTGGTGGGGGGGGAAAGGCAAGAGCAGGAAATGTGGGACTGGGTCATTATAAGGTCTGAAGAAGCTGCTCTGGGCTCAGAGAACCTGGGTTCGAATCTCCCCTTGCCTAAGAACAACCCCTCCCTTGTGCTGAGCTGGGGGCCTGGCCCGCAGGACCATGATGCCGCTGGTCACAGATGTGCCCCCTTCCCCACCCTGGTGCAGGCCCTGGCCCCTCACGCCTGGATCTCCAGTCTGTCCACCCAAGGCCCCTCCCACCATCAAGTAAGCCCCGTGGGCTCCATACCACCCCGAGGAAACACAATGGTGTTAACTCAGGCTATAACGGATGCCTGCTTGTCCTTCTCCCTCCAGCCTGGGCCAGGTGCTTTGGCATTCGAGGCCATGGCTCCTGACTGCCCGGTGCCTGCACCGCTCACCCCCCTCCCTTCTGACTCTGAGACTCAGCCCAGGCCTCACCTTTCCTGCTCCTCCCCCAGCTGTTGGTGCCTCCTCCAGGAGGGAAGGAAATAAGCATTTATGTAGTGCCTACTGTGTACCAGGGCTTTCCAGGAGGCTCTTGCCCGTGTGTGTCTTCTCTCTCTTGAGAAGAGAAGTTCACTGAGGGCAGGGCTGCTTGGCTCCTTCTGTCATGACCATGGAATGCACACTGTGGGATAGACTGACTCAGAGACCTTCAGAGCTTCCAAATGGAGAAGGACCAGGACCCATAGCTGAAGCGCAGGCAAGAGTGCGCCCTTCTCCGTGGGGCCTGAGGAGGAGACCCTGCTCCGCCCTCCCTGACCCTGGTCCGGCCTGACCCTCTTCCCCAGCACAGCCCTTCAGGCACTGAAGTGTGGTCCCCATATCCTGACACCAGGCCCTGTACCAGCCTGGCCCCTCAGGTATGGGAGTGCCATCCCCAGGTCCTCGTGCCATCCCCCAGGTCCTCGCGCCATCCCCAGGCCCTCACGCCATCCCCAGGTCCTTGTGCCATCCCTAGGTCCTCCTGCCATCCCCAGATCCTTGCACCATCCCCAGATCCTCATACCAGGCCCTGTACCAGCCCAGCCCCTCAGGTGTGGGAGTGCCATCCCCAGGTCCTCGCGCCATCCCCAGGTCCTCGTGCCATCCCCAGGCCCTCACGCCGTCCCCAGGTCCTCCTGCCATCCCCAGATCCTTACACCATCTCCAGAGCCTCGTAGCAGGCCCTGCACCAGCTCGGCCCCTCAGGTGTGGGAGTGCCATCCCCAGGTCCTCATGCCATCCCCAAGCCCTGCACCAGGCTGACCCCCTCTTCTGGATCACTTCCTTCTTCCACTCTGGGCGGGGAAACGTGCCTAGAGACCCCCCTTGTCCCGTTCCTCCTGGAGCTCTATCTCATCTGAGCAGCCTGACGCAGTGTGCACTTTTGGGGCCACCATCACTGCCCTGTCCAGGACTTGGGAAGCTGACTGTTTGATCCCAAGAGTTGGCCTCAGTATTCTCCAGGGACAGAATCCCTCCTGCTGTGCCCACCTTGGAGCCTCACGATGAAGAGCCTACTGTGTGCCAAGGGCATACAAAACATCTCCTGCCCCTGACAGCGTTCATCTTACAGGAACACTTACATAGGCACCAAATCCGTCAACGCAAAGAGGAAGATCAGAATCATTTCCATTTGGCAGGCACTGGGAGCCACGAAGATTGGAAGAAAGCTCGCTTTGCCATATTTCCTCCGCAGTCCCTGGACTCCCTCCAGGAGAACGCCCTTGTCACACAGAGTGCTGCCCCCCTCGCCATCTGCTTGTGGCCTCTACATGGTTGGCTTTGTAGGCCATGAGCTCTCCTGGACTTGTCTCCTGTGAGCACCCAGGTGTGGCAGCCTTTGGAAAGTCCCCTGCCTTTCCTTGTCTCATCCAGCCTAAGCCAGGCGGTGTGGTGAGGTCGCAGGCCCTAACCCATCTCTGGGAGCACACCTCAGAACCTCCTTGTCCTGCGCTCCCACCGCTCCCCTTCTGGCTGCTCCCCTCGACCACAGGCCACATTTCCCGTCTTTGGGCGTAGTGGGAGGGCAGAGAGGCACTCCCCCACCTCCACTGGGGGCATCGCTCTTGAGGAGAGTGGCCCCTCCCTGGGCAGGGGGGAAAGCTGGGAGCCTCAGCTTCCTTGCCCTGGCCCCCTGGATGCCTGCCTCTCAGGGTCACTGCCTATCTCTTTATTATTATTTTTTATTAATTTATTTTGATTTATCAACAATCACTTCCATAAGCTTTTGAGTTTTAAATTTTTCTCTGCCTCTCTCCCCACCTCCCTCCCCAGGACGGTGTACAATCTGATATAGGCTATACATATATATACATTCCTATTAAACATATTTTCACATTAGTGATGTTGTAAGGAAGAATTAGAACCAATAGGAGGAACCACCAGAAAGAGGAAACAAAATACAACAGAAGAAAAAAATAGCAAATAGTGTGCTTCGATCTGCATTCAGATTTCATAGTTCTTTCTCTGGATGTGGATAGCATTTTCCATCATGAGGCCTTTGGAGATGTCTAGATCCTTGCATTGCTGAGAAGGGCTAAGTCTATCAACTTTGGTCATCTCACAACCTGGCTGTTACTGTGTACAATATTCTCCTGGTTCTGCTCACTTCACTCAGCATCAGACCATGCAAGTCTTTCCAGATTTTTCTGAAGTCTGCCTGCTCATCATTTCTTATAGCACAATAGTATTCCATTACATTCATATACCACAACTTGGTCAGCCATTCCCCAATGGATGGGCATCCCTCAATTTCCAGTTCTTGGCTACCACAGAAAGAGCTGCTATAAATATTTTTGTACATGCGGATCCATTTCCTATCTGTGTGATCTCTTTGGATTACAGCCCTAGAAGTGCTATTGCTGGGTGAAGGGGGGGTTTCTTCATCCCCATCCCTCCCAGGGTGGTTGTGAAGATCCTACAAGATAATATTTGTAAAGTGCTTAGCCCTGGGCCTGGCACCTAGTAGGTGCTTCATAAATGCATGGTTCTTTTCCTTCCTTGTGGAGAGCAGTGTGACCCTGTTTTTGCTGGCTGGTCCAGAGTTCAGCCTCTCTGTAGTTTAGGAAAGCAGCAGTGTGAAGCATCACTAGGCTTGACTTGGCATCAGGAAGACCTGGGTTCAGCTCCTGCTGGGCAAGTGACCCCAGCTTCCTTCTCTGTACAATGAGGATGTTGGGCCAAGGACCCTCGCACCTCTCCACCTCTGTACCCCACCCCATCCCACCAAGGGCAGGCGTGGCCTGAGGCCTCATCCAGGGCCAGAGGAGGCAGGACGGGTCTGGAGGCAGCCAAAGCCTGCTCCAGCCAACCGGTTTCTTGCTCTGGGGGAGGGTTAGGTCTTCCAGAAGCGCATGGCTGAGTCTGGTCGTCTGAGCGAAGGAGAAATGGCCTTGATCTTCGTGAATTGGAAGGAGATCATTATGTCCAACACGAAACTCCTCAAGTGAGTAGACCTGGTCCCCCAGCCCCACCCCACTGCCCTCTGGGGTTCCCCCTTCCTGTATCCCCAAACACATGGGCAAGGACCCACAGGCTGCCACATGCAGCCTGAACTGAGGAGTCTGAAAACCCTAGACAGTGGCTGCAGTCAGGGGGTGACTTGCCTGTGTGTGTGTGTGTGTGTGTGTGTGATGTCACCAAGCATGACCTGACACCTTGACCTTGCTTGACTGCAATCCTGCCTAGCAGGGGGCGCCGCCCAGGCATGGGGTCTCACTGTCTGTCCTCCACACCGGCATCCACACAGTGACTGGCCCAGCTGGCTTCTTGTGGCCTTGCCACTGTCTTATCCTCCTTGTGTCTGTCACGTCTGCTCCACGTCCTCCACAGACCAGACTTGTATCTCTGTGCCCTGGGCGAGCCCCTGGACCCCCTGAGACCCCCATGTCCTGGGCCACACAAAGGGTGGCCTGAGTGTCCCAGTGTGAGGGGGGCCTTTCTGTCTCTCGCTCCCTTGGGACGGGTCCCAGGGAGACAGGGGGTGCAGCCAGGCAGACCACGCCCATTGGCAGGAGGACCCCACATTGATGGGTTGGGGCACCCAGCTGTAGTTCTCAATGGTTTGTGTGCAGCTGCGACCTCCACCTTGAGCCGGGATGTGTGGTCTTGAGGACCTTTCTTGGGAAAACTTTGAGGTCCTTTCTCTCACATAGGAGCCCGAGTCTGCCCCATCCCCCTTGGGGTGCCCATCGGTGGGCTCCCCTTGTCCCAGTGGGCCAAGCATCCATGGACCTTCCTTCCATGGTCACGACTGTGTGTGGTGTTTGCTGAGGGGTGTGGTCCAGGCGTGGCCCTTGCGTGGCTCAGGCGGGTGTGGTCCCAGGGACGTGATGTTGGGATGCAATAAGGAGGTTTTCCATGTCCCAAAGTATGCGGCAAGGAGATGGTACACTCGTCTCCACAGGGCATGGATGCCTTGTCTCCATCTGGTCTAGACCAGCTCGTGGGGTCTCAGCTGTGTCAGGGAGCTGGGCCCCCGGTTCCCCGTCTCTTCACCTGGGGCTCCTGCTCTCAGTTGCTCCTGGAGACCAGAGTGTGTATATGTGTGTGTGTGTGTGCACAATTGTGCATGTCTGTGTGCACATGGGAGTGTGTAATTGTGCATATGGATGAGTCTCTGTACATGTGTGTGTAGTGTGTGAATATATGCGCCTGCACTGTGTGTGTAAGTATACATGGTGTGAGTGTGCATGTGTGTGTACTTGTGCGAGTTACTAGTGCACATGCTTGTGTGCAAGTACACAATGTGTGCATACATAGGATGTGGTTATGGTAGGGGTGTGAAGTGGGAGGAGAGGCCAGAGTGCGTGTGTGCACACAATTATGTGATTGTGTAATTGTACGTATGGGTGAGTGTGCATGTGTGTACTTGTGTGAGTTACTAGTGTGCATGCATGTGTGCAAGTGCACAATGTGTGCATGTGTGTGTACATACTTGTGATGTAGTTATGATAGTGGTGTGAAGTGGGGAGGGAGGCCAGAGTGTGTATGTGTGTATGTGTGTGTGTGCACGTGCACCGTGTGAGTGTGCATGTGTGTGTGCTTGTGAGTTGCGACTGTGTATGTGTGTGTGCATGCATACACACACATCCGTGACTGTGTGTGCGTGTGTGCACATGTGTTCTGCAGCCATGGCAGCAAGGCCAGGCTGGGGAGGGGGCAGCAGAGTCTGGCGTGCCCCTGCCTGCCGTGGCAGGCAGCCATATGGGGAGTCAGCGGCCCGGCTGTCCTGCAGGGCTCTGCGCGTGCGGAAGAAGACAGGAGGCGAGAAGATGCCGGTGCAGATGGTTGGGGACATCGTGGCGGCTGAGCTCTCCCACATGCAGGCTTACATCCGGTTCTGCAGCTGCCAGCTGAATGGGGCAGCCCTGCTGCAGCAGAAGACTGATGAGGATGCGGAGTTCAAAGAGTTCCTGAAGGTAATGCCCCCTGTGGGCGGCCCTGCCCCAACCCTACCCAGGTCACAGGCTTGTATCTCCTCTCAGCTGGGCATCTGCCCCAGGGCAGGCAGTAAGCCAGGGCTCAGTGAATGTCATGAGTCCCTATGGAGACCACCCACAGACACACCCAACAAAACTCAGCTTGGCCAGCGGGGGCCTAGATCATCAGCGGAAAGAAGCCAAGTCCAACAAAGACCTATAGGCTGGAGGGCCCACCTCCTCCCCCAGGCTCGGACCCCTAGCACGGGACTCCCTTCAATAAAAAGGCCCAACAGATAAGGAAGACAAGACCATTAGTGATGCAGGAAATTAACTGGCATCTCACAAGGTTCAGAAGAAAGGGGGATGAGGCCAATCAGTCAAGTAGAAAGCCTCCACAGGACACCGGCAAGGGGAAACCCTACTGCGCTTCCCCGGGACTCATAATTGTCAAACTATAAAAACAAAGAACAGTGATCTCAGGATTCAAGAGCAGCTTGGAATAGCACAATGGCTAGGGTGCTGGGAGACCCAAGTTCAGATCCAGCCTCAGATACTTACTAACTGCGTGGCCCTGGGCAAGGTTCCTCACCTCTGTTTGCAACTCAGTTTCCTCCTCTGTAAAATGAGGACAATAAGAACAATGCCTTGGAAACCTTAAATCGCTCTCTGACTCACCATTATTGTGATTAGCAATTAATTAAGAGGAACAAAGGGGGAATACATCCAGTGAGACCAGGAAAGGCAAAGAGAAGAAATGCCCATGGTCCAAGTGGACCTGTGGCTGGGTCAGGACCTGCAAGCTTGGAGGCCCATGAGGCAAAAATGGTGAAGGAGACAGGTCACCAGACATTTGGATTGGCGGCAGAGGCTCAGGAGCATGACCCTCAGAAAAGGGGTAGAAAAGACCACTGTGAATGCATGGGAAGGTCACCAGCCAACACAGCGGGCCCCTGCCCTGCTGGAAGAGAGTCCAGAGGACAGGGCAGTGTCAAGACAAACCGGCAGGGAAGGTGCTAGAACTCAGAGCGCTGCTGGGCCCAACCACGCTCTTGAGCTTAAGGATAGAAGACAAGACGGGCGCTTCTGGGCATGGTCACTGCGGCGGGAAGGAAATGGCAGAGCGGAAATAGAGCGTGCCATGAGCCAAGGCGGCCAGGAAAGCTAGTCTCAGGGTCCTCAGCAGGGGTCTCTTCCTGGTGAGGGGAGGGCAGAGAGAGGGCCTCACCCAGAAGGACCCAACAGAAATGGCAGATGTTCGGACGCAAGGAGGCCAAAAGCCATCCACTGCCTTTGGTGAACTCAAGGCCTGGCATCCTTGGGCACTGAAAGAACGGGCCAGCGTGATGGCTGAACCCCTCCCAGCAGGCCTCTGAGGGTTACTGAGGATGATGGAGACAGACACCACACAATAGGAGAAGGGCAGAATTTTCTCTCAAAGGGGGGTCGAGGGAGAGGAAGGGAAGGGAGCCCTTAAACTCTAGGCCAGAGGGCTGGATGTGAATACCTAGCAACATTCTAGCTGGAGTGCTTAGCAAACCTGTGGAAAGGGAAGCCATGGTCTCAGAGAGTAGGCCTGGCTTCAGCGACTCACCTGCCATAAAAATGTACCTGTTGATATGGAAGAGATGATGGGAGGGCAGCTGGGTGGCTTCAAACCCAAGAAGGAGTCAGTCATTCACAGTCCGGTGTCTGCAAGGGGCCTGTGCGTTGGGCCGTGGTGCCTGGTCCTTGTCCATGACTCACCCACTTTACCAGGTGACCCCATGAGAGGGGCCGAACAGACGCCTGCAGGTTCAGGTTCAAAGAGACCTTGAGATCCGAGATGCTGATGGAGATCTTGAATAGCTTCCACAAAGTCATGGGCTATAAAGTCAACAGGCAAAAATCAGTAACATTTCTATAATAATAACAAAATCCGAGAGGCAGTAACAAAAATGAAATCCTAGTCCAGAGAAATACAAAATGCATCAAGTATCTGGGGCAGTCAGGCAGCACAGTGGAACTCAGTAAAACAGTAACAGAATTGATTTGATAAAACAAAGACGTCCAGGGAGATGATGAAGGAGAGAGAGCACTGCCACACCTCAAACTGAGTGACAGCAGCAGTCACCAAGACCATCCAGCCTTGGCTAACAATTAGGAAGAAAGACTCATGGAACGCAGTAACCCAGTGTTCTATCAACTGGAAAACATCAGCTACCTAGGAAAGAATTTCCCGTCTGGTAAAAACTGCTAGGAAAATTGGAAGCAGTCTGAGAGAAATCAAGCTTAAACTCACACCTTTCACTATTCCATAATAATTCTATATGGATACGTAACGTTAATATTAAATATGCATAATAATTTCACTAGAAAATATAAAAATAGAAGAAATAGATTTTAATCTTTAACATTCCACAGCTACAAGTAGGTGATGTTTTTTTTCTGTTTTTTTATTTATTTTTAGTTTTCAACAATCACTTCCATAAGCTTTTGAATTTTTCTCCCCCTCCCTCCCCACTTCCCTCCCCAAGATGGCACGCAATCTGATGTAGGCTCTACATGTACATTCCTATTAAATGTATTTTCACATTAGTCATGTTGTAAGGAAGAATTGGAACCAATAGAGGGACCACCAGAAAGAGGAAACAAAACAGAAGGAAAAAAAAGAGCAAATAGTATGCTTCGATCTGCATTCAGACTCCATAGTTCTTTCTTTGGATGTGGATAGCATTTTCCATCAGGAGTCCTTTGGAGATGTCTTAGATCCTTGCATTGCTGAGAAGGGTTAAGTCTATCAATATTAGTGATTGCACAACATGGCTGTTACTGTGTACAGTGTTCCAGGAGATATATTCTTAACCAAACATGGGATAGAAGCAGTTAGTGAAGACAAAATAGAAAACTTTAACTATAAGAAACTGAAAAGCTGCACAGATGAAATAATACACCTAGGGTAAAAATGGAAATGGTTGAATAGGAAAAAAAAATCTGTATTAAATTTCTCTGATAATGATTTGATATCCAAGATTTATAAACAATTAAGAAACATATCTAGAACCTTGGTCCTGGAGTCAGGAAGACCTGAGTTCAAATCCAGCCTCTGATCCTTCCTACCTGCATGACCTTGGGTAAGTCCCTTCATCTCAGTCTGCCTCAGTTTCCTCAGCTGTAGAATGGGGATAATAACAGCACCTACCTCCTAGGGTTGTCGTGAGGATCAGATGAGATCATATTTAGAAAGCGTTTAGCTCAGTTGTACTTGGTGCTGTGTAAATGCGCATTATCTTCTCTTCCCCTTGGTCATATGATTACACAAGGTGATAGGGGAATGAGGGAGCCACTCTGGTGCAGGGGAGAGGAGCCCGGGAGGGTGTGCGTGAGCATCTGACCAGCTGCTGCAAATCGGTTTGCACTGGAATGTCAGACCCTTTGGAATCCTTTGGAACCCTTGTCACGGTTTGTAGACAATTTGATGACAGGTTGAAAAAGTGCAGGAATGTGTTACACTTTGTCAGAACTGGTCAGAGGTTGATGTAATTACTGCACAAACACCAGAATTGTTGGGTATGGGACAGTTTTGAATTGCTGCAGAAACAAACTATGATCTTCAAACACATACATGTTTATTGTCACAGAGGGAAAATGTATTTGTAACATAATGGGGCAATTGCGGTGCCATTAAGACTTTTTAGTGCACACTCCGGGTCCATTGTCACAAACCCAGGGGCTTCACGAGCCAACAAATGGGAATTTCCAGCCTAGATAAGAGAGGCTGGCATAAAGTATTTTTTTCTGTTACAGAGGGGAGATGATTTTTTTTCATCCCACAAATACATGCAGTTATTTAGGGACAAGATAAATGTTTGCAGTTAAAATTTTTTTTTTAAATCTGTATAACAAAAGAAAAAAAAAACTAGGGAAAATGTGTGGTCAACATGACTCACCACCAGCATTTATTCAGCCCCTGGACGTTTGTAAAGTGTTGAACATTGACTGCCTCATTTAATCCTGTGAGGCAAATTAACTTCTAAATAGAGAACTGTTCACAATCTACAAAGGACACTCTCACCTCACAGACAGTCAGCCTAGAAGATGAGCAGGATTCAAAAGAAGCACAAATTAGAGTCACCAGATTGGGGAAGAGGGGAGGTTTTTCCAACATTTAGTTCACTGAAATGAATTAGGGAAGCTGGAATGACCCAACCATGTAATGGCACGAGAGGGCTGGGAGACTCTGAGTGGATGAGTGGGCCCCTTCTGCCCAGCAAGGCTGGCCTCTCCACCCCTCCCCTGACCCTCAGGGCTCTCAGGGTTCCTTCAGGGTTAGAGTTTCTCTCAAATGCTATTGACTCATTCAGCCCTCATTCTAGGTAGGTTCTCTGCCACTAATGATTAGCACCCTAGTCCCATTAAACTAATTAGTATCAGTTTTTACAAGGGGATATTTACATTAAGAACAGCACAGGCTTTCCCCCCTTTACCAGCTCGGTCTCTGGTGAAACCTTTTTCTGCATAGCACTGACCCCCCCCCCCCCAGTTCACATCAGACAAGTCCTTTTCTTCGCTGCTGGGCTGGGTCCACCTAGTCACTCCCAGGCCTCCTGACCTTTCGTTCTCACAAGGCCACGGCCTTCAGTCTCCATCTAAAATGAAAGAGCAAAGAACCAATGCCCATGTCCAGAGGTCACATGCTGGCCTCCCAGGGAGAAAGGCATTGTCCCTCCCCAGACACCAATGGCCAGAATAAAGTCCCAAGAAGAGGATGGTCAAGATGCCCCTCAGCACCACTGGTTCCAGTTATGTGACTGGAGCTAAGCCAAGAGCCTGCCATCGCCCATGTGGTCAGCCAGCCAGGTCCAGGGCCTTTCCCTTCCACGGTGCTGCTGCCCTCAGGGGTGGGCTCTCAAGAATTGCCACGTGGGGCTGGGCATCCTGGAGAAGATGGCTCAGGGGCCGGCGCTGTCCCACTCTCCTCTCTGCCCTGGACTAGATGGGTGTGCGGCCACGTTGGTCCCAGGCCCAAGTGTTATCACTCTTCATCCGTCTCAGTCCTGGGGCCAGACCCAAAACCTGGCAGGGACGTCCGAGGGTAGTAGCTGTGCCTGGCAGGAGCTCTGCCTCAGCCCATCACCTTTGCCTTTGTTCTGTGACCTCTCCTAGAGACTGGCCCGAGACCCTCGGTGCCAGGGCATGCCACTGTCCAGCTTCCTGCTGAAGCCCATGCAGAGGATCACACGTTACCCACTGCTCATCAAGAATGTAAGTCCTTGAGGAGTGGAGGGGCAGGGGGGAGCAGTACAGCGGCTAGACCCCTTCCGGGCCCACAGGAGGGGCAGGGGAGAGAAGGGCGCAGAGTCCGGCAGGGAGCCCCTAGGCGCGGGCCCTTCCCGCACTGAACTGCCTGGCGGTCCTCTCCCTAGATCCTGGAGAATACCCCAGAAAGCCACGTGGACCACTCTTCCCTGAAGCTCGCCCTGGAGAGGGCCGAAGAGCTTTGTTCGCAGGTCAACGAAGGGGTCCGCGAGAAAGAGAACTCGGACCGCCTGGAGTGGATCCAGGCTCACGTCCAGTGCGACGGCCTTGCTGAGGTAAGGGAGGGGCTCCTGGAGCAGGCTGGGGGCCCGGAAACTCCCCTGCTGCCTCAGGGGAGCCAGATCTGCCTGACCCGAGCCGTTCTAGCTCTCGGGGTCGCGGACAGGCCGAGCCTGCTGTCCTGGAGGCAGTGGGGAGTCATGGCAGGTATTTGAGCAGGGGACTGCGCTACAAAGATGATTTGGGAAATTGGAGGCTGGTGGGAAGGCATCGCACGAGGCCCTGGTGAGCCTAGCAAGGTGGACGAGAGATGCCCCGGAGGCAGAAGTGGTGCGGGGGAGGGGGGGCCCCCGGAGACGGAGAAGGGCCGGGTGTCCATCTCTGGGGGGAGGGGCGTCCGCACATAGGCGAGATTGGAGTGGCAGAGGAGGTGATGGCCCCCACCGACGGTCAAGGGGTACTGTATCGGGGACGATAGGGAAAGGAGACCCCAGTGTCACCAGACCTGCAGAACAGGAGGAAGAATGGACAGGGGCGAAGACCCCGGGGGCACTGGATGGGGTCGGGGAAGGGGCCGGGCCTCCTGATTGGGGGAGGGGCGTGTGTAGGCCCACCCCTCCCCCCACCGTAGAACGCTCCCGTCGCCAAGGGTGTTTCTGCTGATCGGTAGTAATTTCTGGTCGCTGTTACTGTTGATGAGCAGATAATAATCGTTATCATGGAGCATGTGAGGTTTGCAAGCGCTTCACAGCCAGCACATCTGGGCCCCTGGGAGACAGGTGCATCTGGGGAATAAGCGTCTGAGGTGCTGCTCCTGATTCCGGGTCAGCACCGGGGTGGCGGCCGCCACGCCTGGAGGTGTTGGGGTCAGCCAGGCTTGGGGCCGGGCGGAGTCATCTGAACCTCCCCGCCTAGGGGAGGAAGGCCTGGCCAGAGCCCTGCTGAGGGAGGGCACAGTGGCCGGTTATCCTCCGCCCCTGGGTCCTGAGGGCAGTGGAGAGGTGTGGATGGAAGAGCAGCCAGGTCCCACTCCATGAGTGACTGCCTGTCTCTCTTGAAGCAACTCATCTTTAACTCGCTCACCAACTGCCTGGGCCCTCGCAAGCTGCTGCACAGCGGGAGGCTGTACAAGGCCAAGAGTAACAAGGAGCTCTTTGGCTTCCTCTTCACGGACTTCCTGCTGATGACCCACGCTGCCAGGCCCTTCCCGGCTGCCTCGGGCCCCGAGAAGCTCTTCAGTGCCAAGTCCAGTGCCCAGTTCAAGATGTACAAGACGGTGAGTGTGGTGGGAGCTGCGGGGCGGCCCAGCGGGCATGGCTGGCCTTTGCTGCCCCGCTCACCCGCTTGGCTTCCCCCAGCCTGTCTTCCTGAATGAGGTCTTGGTGAAGCTGCCCACAGACCCTTCCAGCGACGAGCCCATCTTCCACATCTCCCACATTGACCGTGTCTACACACTCCGAGTGGACAACATCAACGAGAGGTCAGAACTGCCCTGCGCTGGTGCCCTCCACTCTGTCTGTCCTTCTGTTCATGCATCTGCTGACTCTCTGTCCATCTCTCCGTCCATCTGTCTACCCATGTGTCCATCTCTTATCCATATGTCCATTTATCCATCTGTCTGTCTGTATGTCCATTTACCCAGCCATCTATGTCCATCTCTCTGTCCGTCTGTTTTATCCATCTCTCTGTCTCCCCATCTCTCCATCCACATAGCTTCATCTGTCTGTCCAGTCATCTGACTCTGTCCATCCCTCTGTCCATCTCTCTACCCATCTGTCCATCTCTTATCCACATAGCTCCATCTGTCTGTCTATCCATCTCTCCATCTGTTTATCTCCCTCCCTCTCCATCCACATAGCTCCATCTGCCTGTCCGTCCATCTGACTGTCCATCCCTCTGTCCATCTCTCTACCCATCTGTCCATCTCTTATCCACATAGCTCCATCTGTCTGTCCAGCCATCTGACTCTGTCCATCTCTCTACCTGTCTTTCCATCTCCCCATCTCTCCATCCACATAGCTTCATCTGTCTATCCAGTCATCTGACTCTGTCCATCCCTCTGTCCATCTCTCTACCCATCTGTCCATCTCTTATCCACGTAGCTCCATCTGTCTGTCTATCCATCTCTCCATCTGTTTATCTCCCTCCCTCTCCATCCACATAGCTCCATCTGCCTGTCCGTCCATCTGACTGTCCATCCCTCTGTCCATCTCTCTACCCATCTGTCCATCTCTTATCCACATAGCTCCATCTGTCTGTCCAGCCATCTGACTCTGTCCATCTCTCTACCTGTCTTTCCATCTCCCCATCTCTCCAGCCACATAGCTTCATCCGCCTGTCCGTCCATCTGACTGTCCATCCCTCTGTCCATCTCTCTACACATCTGTCCATCTCTTATCCACATAGCTCCATCTGTCTGTCCATACATTCATTTCTCCATCTGTTTATCCCTCTCCTTCTCCATCCACATAGCTCCATCTGTCTGTCTGTGTGTGTTAACCTTGCGTCTCTGTCTATCTGTCTTTCTGTTCGTCTGCCTATCCTTCTGTTTCTCATCATACATTGATCAGTTCCAGCATCTGCATCTGTTTTTTCCAAAGTCCAACAGCTAGGTGGCGCCATAGAGCACACAGCAAACACCCAGGCCTGGAGTCCCAAAGACCTGAGTTCAAATCCTGTCCCAAATCTCACTACTTCTGTGACTCTGGGCATGTCCCTTCATCTTTGTCTGCCTCAGTTTCCTTATCTGTCATATGGGGATCATACGAGCCCCTGCCTCTCAGGGCTGTTGTGAGGATCTAATGAGATACCATTTGTAACGTGCTTAGCCCAGTGCCTGGCACACAGTAGGCGCTCCATAAATGCTCACCGTCTCCCCCAGCCGAGTTCCGTGGGCACGCCTTGTGGTGTCACAGGACAAATAGAAAGGGGGCTCAGGAGAGAGACGGGGCTGTGGTGTTTGAGGGAAGCCTGGAGTTGTCTGTTGCCAAGCGTCTCCCTATACCACACCTGGGCATCTACATGACTCTAGGAGGTCTGCTTCCCTCAACGTCTCAGGGGAGATTAGAGGTCGGGGCTATTTACAGATGAGGAAACTGAGGCACAGAACAAGGGAGTGACTTGTCTGGGGTTGAACCCAGATCTCCTGCCTGAGTCTGGGGCTCTGCTCCCTGCTCCACTAGACACAAGAAGGTATCTGGAGAGAGGCATGGATGCCACCTGTAGGAGGTCAGCAGGTGGTGACCCAGAGTGAGAGGGCAGAGGTGGGAAGACTGAGGCCTCCAGCTCCTTGGCCAGAGGGTATCTCGATCTGGGAGGCCAGTGAGCACTGGCTCAGGAAGGGGGGAGGTCACTGGCAGGCCCCACATCCCACCCTCCGCTCTGTGTCTCAGGGGCCTTCAGAGGCCCTCCCGGGGCAGGCATTGCAAACACAGGTTCTCGAGAAGTGGACGTTTGCTGTGAATCCCCGTGGGGATGCGCGTCCAATGGGGAGAGGCACTCAGCCCTCTGTTCCTCTCAGGCCAGCCATCCCCAGGGCCCAAGCTGCCCTGCTCAGGGGCCAACCTTGGCTGCCTTCACGTAGCCTGCTCTAAGGGCCTCACCCAGGGGTCCCTGCCAGAGTCGGGCGATGGTGGGGGAGGGAGCCTTGTTCCCTGGAGGTCGGGCACCAAGGACCTTAGGCGGAGGCAGGAGGGGATGCTGTTTGTGGATAGCTGCTAAAAGAAACGGGAGCATCGGGCTGCTGGGCTGGGAGGCAGGCCAGGCTCCCGGGCAGTGACCACCTGCCTGGGCTTGGGCCTCTGATCCCTAGGACAGCTTGGGTTCAGAAGATCAAAGCGGCTTCGGAGCAGTACATTGAGACAGAGAAGAAGAGGAGGGAGAAGGCCTATCAAGGTATGCGGGTGGGGGTGTCTGCCCATGGCCTCTGGCCTTGGGCCGCTCCCACTCCCTAGGGGGAGGCTCCAGGGGCACAAAGAAGAAGTACAAAAAACACCAAGAAAATCCCTCTGCAGCTGGGGCAGGGAAGCGGAAAACATCCCCCTGCAGGGGCTGAGTGCAGCCTGGGGCTGGAGGGAGACAGGAGGCAGAGGCGGACTGGAACAGGCTGGGGAGACAGGGTGGGTGGGCGCAGGTGGGCTGGGGGATCCTGGGGCGGAGGGGGCAGAGGCTGGCTGGGGGGACCTAGGGTGGGGGGGCCCGGAGGCAGAGGGGGCAGAGACCACTAGGGGGACCTTGGGGTGGGGAGTCCCTCAGGGCACAGGTAGGTTGGGGGGGTTCTGGGGGGGGCCTTGGGGCAGGGGTACAGGGGCAGGGGGCAGCTGCTGTGAGTCTGGCCTAGCGGAGGGGTGCAGGGAGGAGGGTGATGTGACTAGGTGGTATAGGAGTCCAGACCCAAAGAGAAGAGTTTCTCTTTTCACCTCCGGACCATCAGGCTCCCTCCACCTTCCAGCTTATCTCCCACCTCCATGCATTTGTATGGGCCTGGCCAGCTTCCTCTCCAGGTTACTGTGGATTGACCTGTGTGTGTCTGTTTCATCCCCCCAGGGGAGACAGTGCCCCACTTAGTGTCTCGAGCTCTCACATGGGGACCTTGCGTATGGTCGGAGATGCGTCCCCCACTCCTCACCTCCCCGTTCCTCATCCCCATGACCGCCTCCTCCTTCCCTCTTCCTTTGGTCTGCCCATGACCTTATTCTGTTCTCAGCTCCTCACTGAGACCCCTCCCACCCTCATCCTTTCTCAGGCTGCGACCGCCCAGTCCGACTTTGTTCTGACTTCACCTTGTCTTGGCTCTACCCCATGCCCCCTTGTTCTGGCACCTCCACCGGGCTGGCGGCTCTGATTCCTCCCCCATTACCGCCTGGTCCTGTTCTGCCACCCCTGTGGCCATCACCCTGTCTTCTCTTCCTTTAGTCTCTACCTGGGCTCTCCTGTCTTCTCCAGCCTGGTGGCCTTACTCCTTTTCCATCTCCAGCCCGTCCCTGTCTCCTGGGCCCTGCTCTGTTGCCCACACGCATGCGCACACATGCCAAGGCTCCTTCACCCTCCACCCGGGAGTCCCCGCTTGTCCTGAGGCTCCTAAGACCGCCTGCACTCTGCCTTCACCCCCCTCTGCTCGCCCCCTCCTCACCCTTTGCGTCCAGGCTTCTAACAACCCCGCGCCCCCCCCCGGGTGCCTGACACCATCCACAGCTGTCCATGGCTTGTTCTGTCATCAGCCCTTGGCCTTTCCCACCGGCCAGCGTCCTCGGCCCCCTCAGCCACTGTCTCCCGCTGTCTTGGTTCTTCTCTTCTCCGCCTCCCGTCGGGGTGCGTGCCCTGAGCCCCCACCCTGGTACTGTCCCAGGGACACCCTTGTTCTTTCCACGCAGATCAGGCCTGTGGCCAAATGTCTCTATTTGTTTAGGGGCAGGCGCCCGTGTGCGCACATTGGTGTCGCCCGCCTCGTATCAGATCTCATTTCCGCCTCCTTAGTGTTATCCCTCCCCACCCATGCTCTCATCTCACGGCCATGGCTACCGCCACCGCCTCTCGCCTGGCGCACTGCAACGGCCTCCTCATTGGTCACCCGGCCTCTGGCTTCTGTCCACCCCAGGCCACTCTACACACTGTGGCCCAAGTGACTTTCTCATGTCCAGTGCGTGTCTCAGGCCTACGCACTCCAATATGTGCACTTGGGCTTAGCTTTGGAAGCCCTTCATGATGTGGCCCCAGCCTAGCTTGGGGGCCTCCCTCCCACACCCAGTGGTGCTGCTTAAATGGATACTCGGGGCTCCCACCTCCGTGCCTTTGCCCTGGCTGTGTCTCCCTCGTCTGTCTCCCAGAATCCCTCACTTCCCACCTTCTCTAGGAAGACTTTCCTGACATGCCTTCTCCCAAGCCTTCAGTCTGAATGTATTAGTGTTGATTCTCTTTCTGTTCATGTCTGGAAGCTCCTTTCTGCTGGGTTCTCTATCCTCTCATCCCCAGGACCTGGCACACAGTAGGTGCTCGAGAAATGCTTCTGGACTGACTGGCCGAGACTTAGAGGAGGGCAGGAGGCCGGGGCAGGTGGACCTCTGTCTTGTTCCCCCTTGTGTGCCCTGGGTCTCTTTGGCTTTGGGGGGCCATGCAGCCGCCTGGGGGGCTGCCCCCACTCTGGGGGCCTCCTGTCAGGCCGGCCACCTCTGCTTCCTTGCAGCACGATCACAGAAGTCCTCTGGCATCGGGCGGCTCATGGTCCATGTCATCGAGGCATCGGAGCTCAAGGCCTGCAAGCCCAATGGTGAGTGCTGAGCGCCTGAGTCTCCCTGGGCGTGGGGGAGGGGCAGGCCTGGCTCGGTCACCTGTGGTCTGGGCTCAGTCACTCAAGGTCCGAGCTTGGTCACCCATGGTCTGGGCTTGGTCACCTGCGGTCCAGCCAGACTCAGTCACCTGCGGTCTATGCTCAGTCACTCAAGGTGCCAACTTGGTCACCTGCGGTCTGGGCTCGGTCACTCAAGGTCCTGGCTCGGTCACCTGTGTTCTGGGCTCGCTCACGCGTGGTCCAGGCTCGGTCACCTGTGGTCCGGGCTCAGGCACTCGAAGTCCCAGCTCAGTCACCTGGGGTCTGGGCTCGTTCGCCCGCAGTCCAGGCTCGGTCACCCGCGGTATGGGCTCAGTCACCTGCAGTCCAGCCAGGCTTGCTCACCCACAGGCCAGGCTCCCATCCATCCCAGCTTTGTCCTGTGCAGGTAAAAGCAATCCCTACTGCGAGGTCAGCCTGGGCTCTCAGAGCTTCACGACTCGGACGCTGCAGGACACCCTGAGCCCCAAGTGGAACTTCAACTGTCAGTTCTTCATCAGAGACCTGTATCAGGACGTGCTCTGCCTGACCCTGTTTGACCGGGACCAGTTCTCCCCAGATGGTGGGTGGGGGGCTAAATAGAGTTGGGGGGCTGAGATGTTGGGGTGTGGAGGGCTGAGACGGTGGGGACAGAGTCAGAGATGGAGTTGAGGGGCTGAGACATTGGGGAGCCGAAGCAGTGGGAGACAGAGTGGGGAAGGGCTCGGAAAGGCTGGCCATGGCCGCCTGGGTGGGGACGCTTTGGGGCTCTCCATCATTTGCACGGAGACATAAGGGGCTTTGTTGTTCTCTTGCCAGATTTCCTGGGTCGAACCGAAATCCCTGTGGCCAAGATTCGGACCGAGCAGGAGAGCAAGGGACCCACCACCCGCCGCCTACTACTACACGAGGTCCCCACGGGTGAGGTGTGGGTCCGCCTGGACCTGCAGCTGTTTGAGCAGAAGACGCTGATCTAGGGGCCTGGCTCCCCTGCCCGTGTGTGCCCCAGACCGGGGCGAGTCCCTCGGCGGGGAGACCCCAGGAGTGGAGTGGCCTCTGCTAGGACGCCCTACTGAGATTAGGTGGTTTTAAAGAGGGCAGGGAAACTTGACTTACTTTAAATACTGTGACCTCTAATGATGTGGAAACTATTTTTGATTTTGTTTTCTTAAGAAGTGTAAATTATTTATGTAAAATGCTTTGGATTTGCACCTTTCCATAGGATGTGCATCTTAAAGCTTTGTCATTGCCAACATGTACAGAAAGAGAAAATATATGTTTGTGGACAGACTTCTCAGCAGTCAGGCTGGTGTGATCTAGGCAGGGAGGAACCACTGGAGGGGGGATGGAGGCAGGGGGAGGCATGCAGGAAGGCCGGCCTTTTTTCTTCCGGGTGGACCCGGTCCCCGGGGTCCAGCATGTGGAGTGTGGGCTTGAGAGGCAGCTAACTACCAGGCCCGCCGTCTCTTCTGCCCCGGGAGCAAGGTCATGCTCACCTTGGAGACATCCTTGCCGCCCTCCTCTGGTCTCTCCCAGCTCCCACACTCTGAGATCCACACCAAGTCACAGAATCTGGAGAGGGGTGACCCCCTGGGGCATCTGGTCTTGGTCAGAGCCTCCAAGGATGGGAGGCAGCCCCTCCCCCACTGGCATAGCTCTTGGGCCAGGCCAGCTTGGTCTTTTGGCTCTTGGCTCTGCCTTCTCTTCTCCGTGGTGACCATCCTTCAGTCCAGGCACTTTTCCAGCCTGGTAGCTCTCCTCTAGACACATCTCTTTATCAGCTGTGGTGCCCAGAGTTTACCAAGTCCTCCTTTGAGACAGAGGGACCATCCCCTCCCCAGAGCCCACTCTCTCTTCAGACAGCTCGAGATCACATTCATTGTTTGGGAGCTGCCATATCTCACTGCTGACTCATACTGAACTTGTGGTCCCCTAAAACCCCGGGCTCTTCTCCAGGCAAACTCTGTCCAAGCTTTTCAAGCCCAAGGGCATCACTCTCCACTGATCCCTGGTAGGCATCATCTTCTTAAATGCAGCTGAGGCTCTTGCCGTCAGGGTCCTTTGGGGTCCTTGTTTGTCATCCAGGCAGTGAGCTCCCCCTCCCAGCTTGGGAATCATGCATGAAGGCGGGAAAAGAAGGCTCCCTCGATTGACGCCTGAGAGGAGGGTGGGCCTGGGATCCTCTGGCCTGTCCGGGTGGTGCAAGGCAGCCGCGGGCAGGACCTCTGTCTGTTGTCAGTCCAGACTCTGTCTGAGAGCTGTGATGGAGGCGGGGGAAGCTGGGCAGGGTCTGACCAGCCCAGGCTTTGGTTCTGAACTAAACCTAGAGACTTTGAGGGGGCCCAGAGGCTGGGTTATTGTCCCCATCTTACTGATGAAGAAGCTGCCGCAGAAACCACTAGGGACTTGGCCAGGATCATCCCCAGGCAGCCGTGGGGCAGTAATGCCTTGGTCAGTCATCTCAGGAATATTGCAGGTTCAGGGTCGTGCGGGGCCGGGGCCAGAAACGAGAGAAGGCCCAAGAGCTCGGCTTCAGTCCTGAAGGTTGCTCAAGGGATGGTTTGCTCACAGCCGTCCTCAGAAGCAGGCCGTGCCCCCGCCCCCGAGGTGTGAGCCGTGGTCTCCCCATGAGGGAGTCAGGCCCTGGGAAGGTCATTCCCAGCGCCATGCCTGGTGACAGATTTCAGCCAAGCAGCAGAGAACACTTCCAGGGCTGTTCTCGCGAACAGGATGGCGGGAGGAAGGCCCGACCAGAGGCGTCCCCCTCTCCTGGTAAGTGTTTAACAAAAGAAATACAGAGAGCTGATAGACTGTGAAACCCCACTGGGCTGGACAGTGGCCCACGTGTCTAACGACCACCCCGGAAAGTCAGGGGTGTCCATGTGAAAGGGGGTGGCCAGGGGCCTGCCCGGGGACCCAGGGACTCCCTGCAGGCTGCACCATTAGGCCGAATCCAATGAGGTGAAACTCGGTGAGAATCCATGTAAAACCTTCCCCTTGGGCTCAAAAAGTGGACTTCCCTTAAAATCTGGGGTTTTTCCTGAACAGTGTTGTTTCAGAGCTGGGAAGGACTGAGGAGGGCGTCTCCCAGGCCCTCTGGCCTGTGCTTGCCCGTGCGCCAGGACAGGAATCCTCTGCCTGCCACGGGGCACCAGCTCTCGCTGGAAGCACACGGGGCTCGGCTCCCTGGGGCTGGTTTTGGGGACGTGTTGTTTGGCTTTGCCTTTGATGGGTTCCACACTCACCGTGAGTCAGCAGGGTGTCATGGTACCCAAAAAGCTGGCGCGGTCTTGGCCTGTGATGCAGTGGGAGCCCTGTGTCCAGCACGATACAGATGGCATTCCTTCGGCACCAGAGCCACCCTGGAGATGCCTTACCACGGCTGAGCCCAGAGTGTGTAGTAGAGACAAACAGCTTGCTTTATTTGACCCTTCAGGCCACCCAGCACACTTTCCTCTGATGCTCCCCAAGCCGTGGCCCCCCAGATATGGCTGGGATGGAAGAGTCTCCTGGTCTCTTAGGTCAGAAATCCCTTGGGGCTGGCTGGTGGGCCCACACACCACCTCACAGCCCACTGCCAAGCAAAGCCCCTTTGGGGTCTGCTTCTAAAGTTTAGCCCACGTGAAGAGGAAAGATTGATCTGCGATGACTCCTCAGGACAGTGCCGAGGGCACCCACGCGGACCTCCTCATGTTGTGTGAAGGGCCTGGCCCTGTGCAGGGGTGTGCCGGCTTCTCCAGGTACCTGGGGCAAAGAGGGCAGAGGGACACACTGAGTCCTGGGCACAGAGCCACTCCCCACCCCCCACACACAGGCACAGCCTCACCCCAAGCACTGGAGATTCTGTCCCCAAATCCAGGAGGTGGGCCCTCCCCTGGAAGCACATTAAGAGCAGCATTGGTGACAGATGCGAGCGCGGCGGGCGCTGGTGTGGACCAGGCTTGCTTACATGCAGTGCAGTTTCTGGCTGGCCGGCCGAGTTGCAGACCTGAGCGGTGCGGGGCGATGTGCCCAGGCCTCTGCAGCCTTGTAGCTCCCCGCCTTGTCTTGGTCCACAGTACTCCATGCTGCCAGTGTCAGCCCAGAGATGCCCAGCACCTGCCCAGTGACAGTGAACATTGGGCGTGCGTCCACGGTGAGGGGTCTTGGAGCCCTCACGGTCCCTGGGGCCTCACGTGCCCGTTAGGGTTATTCATTCCTGGGGATCTCATTTCTGATCAAAGCTACACAGAAGTGGAGTAAGCTCCATGAGGGCAGGCTCTGTGCCCTAAAATGAATGACATGATTGGGACAGGAAGAGCCAGGACCACAGGGGAGGGAGAACTGAGGAGTCAAAGAGCAAAGGCCTGGGGTTCGGGGTGGGGGGCTTTCTGGCTACCTTCCTTATCTCAGAGCTGCCTGGTGACCGTGGCCCTTGGGGCTGGCATCACACAGAATCCCCGACTCAGACCCCACTCACCAAGTCCACCACCTTTTCCCGTGCACCCTCCGACCTGCGCTTCAGGACTGGGGAGTACTTCCTGCTGGGAAGACGAATCCTCCCTGCAGAGCCCAGCTTGGCTCTGGCGCTGAAGGAAACCCACAAGAAAAGGGCATCACCGGGTGTCGGCTGTGGCCAGGCAGAGCCGGGGAAGCCACATGGGCCTTTCCCTGGCCAGGGCCAGACCAGGAGTGCCAGGCAGGTTGGGCAATGGGCTGGACAGGGTCTGCCGTGACCCCTGCCAGACCCTCCCAAGGGGATGCTTTCTGCTGTGCTGGTGAGACTTGGTTATCAGACACCAGGATTAGTCTTGGAATCATCTGAATAGGCCAAGTTCTATGGAAGCCCAGGGGTCATTCCCACCATGCACAGAAGTCTGGACCGTGAGGGTCGGCCTTCATCAGGAGGGAACATTGGGGAGTGGCCCTGCCCTGCACGGGTCAAAGCAGGGGCAGGATTCGAGGAGGGGAGGCAATGGGCAGGTCAGGCCCAGGCTGTGGGAGGCCTTGAATGCCAGCCTGAGGATGGAATTGATTCAGTGGGCACTTTCTAAATAGGCAGTGCTTAGGATGGTGTCCAGGACAGCACGTCATGTGTGTTGTCATCTTTCTGGGCTGATCATTTCACCAACAGCAGGAACTCCCAGGTGAGGAAACCTCTCTCCTACCACATTTCAGCACCCCCTCTGCATCTTATAACCTCTGGACCACCCCCCTAAGGTCCCTGGGGGCCACAGAGCTGCATAGAAACCCACACATGTTGATAACGTGTCTCCACCCATTCAACTCAGGAATGTTTGTGTCTCTTTGGGGCACCGTCGGGAGGGGGCCTGCTGGCCCAAGTTTGACCCAGAATCCATGTGTGTCAGAAGAGGGGCTCCAACCCTGCTTCCCCCAGCTTCGAGGCCATCCCAAATGGACAGGGGAGTGAAGTATGTGAACAAACAATTCTTTAAAAACATAAAATTGACTGTACGAAGGATTCTTCCAAATCACAAATGAGACAATTATGCATCAGAACAGCTCATGTCCAGAGAATTAGCAAAGTCAATGAGATGGGAATAGTCAGTGTTGGAGAGGTTGTGGAAACACAGGCCCACTAATACATTGTTGGTGGAGTTGCAGACTGACCCAGTCATTGGGCTAAGTGGTTCAGAATGATGCTGTGATTAAATGCCCACGGATAAAAGCAGAGAAAAACTTCCATATTCCCCAAAATATTCATAGCAAGAACATCTACTGTAGCTGAGGACTGGGAATAAAGCAGGCCCCCACCAGTCCCAGCCTTATTTTTTTGTTTTGTTTTTTGTTTGGTTGGTTGAGATTTTTAGGCAATCGGGGTTAAGTGACTTGCCCAGGGTCACACAGCTAGTGAGTGTCAAGTGTTTGGTCTGAGACCGGATTTGAACTCAGGTCCTCCTGACTTCAGGGCCAGCTCTATCCACTGCACCACCTAGCTGCCCCCCAGCCTTATTATCAATGAGTAAACCCTACCAAGTCTGAGTCAAAGTTGCTCTTGTCTTGGCCGGGGGGGGGGGGGGGGGGGGCAGGGCGCCTCCCCAGAGGCCTCACAGAAGCCTGACCATCTACACCTGCAGAATGCTGCCAGACCCACCTGCTCTTCTGGCAGTTTTCCTCTCCCACCAGCCCTGAGTTTGGCCGTCGGTCCTGCCACCCAAAGGAAAATGGGGGCAGGGTCCCAAGCCACTTGGCCTTCACTTCCTTAAATTCCTTCATGGTATATATTTTCCCTGCAGGAAGAAGAGCAGGACCCCAATGAGAGCCTGGGACTCTCCCAGAATCTCCCAAATCCAAGAGCTGGGAGGGGCCTCAGCGGCCTAGAGCCGAGCCCCAACCTGAACGTAACACACACATACACACACGCGCACATGCACACATTCACATGTGTACACATACACACGCACATGTAGATACATGTCCATATATATATACACACACTGCACACACATACATGTGCATGTATACCTGCCTGCGGTCTATATAACATATGTACGTGCATAGGCACACATATAACATGCTGCACGCATGCATATACATGCATATGCATGCACATGCACATACACAATGTGTGTTCTTGTACACGCCTACACACGTGTATGACATGCATGTGTACACATGCAGGCGCCTGGAGCGCACACCCAACAGTCCTGCCAATGAAATGAAACCTCAGCTGCTGCTGGGTCTGGGAGGACCTGGGGCCTCCTTACCCTGGAGCATCCACCTCTCTGTCCCTTTGGTCAGAGAGGATCCTGTCCTGGCCAGCCCGGTTCCCCTCGGGGCCCAGCTCCTGACTTCCAGCTGCACACCCTTCCCCCACATACATGCCTCCATGCCCCACTCCCAGGCTTCAGCTCTCTCTCCCTGTTAAGAGTGTAAGCTTGGTAAGGGCAGGCAGGGGCTGCCTCTCTCACAGAGTGTCCGGCACAGGGCAAGAGACTAACAATGTTTGTTACCTTCGTCCCCCCAGCGGAAGAGGCATGTCCCCTCCACAATAGCCTCTATCAGTGAGAAAGCCTTTGTGGCTGAGTGACAGAACCAGTCCATCAGGTGTGGGCAGGAGTCCTGACTGCCCCATCCTAGCCATCCGTCCCAAGCATAACCCAAGGCAGTGACCGAGGAGGAAGCCGACGTTTGATTGTGACAGGCCCCCCAGAGAAGGAGACCCCTGCACTGATGGAGGCCTGGAAGTGCTGTGAGGAGCAGGGTGTGGGGGGGCGGGACATCACTGGGGAGGCCTCCTCTGGCAGGACGGGAGAGGAGCAGCTTTCCTTGGTGGAAGCAGAGAGCTTCTGGGGGACAGGCCTTCCATCCAGCCGGGAGCTGGGAGGAGCCCACTCCCCCCAGGACTCTTGCTCTTACTACCTACCACCTTAGGGAATATCCCTTCCTAAAAGCACGTTAGCTCTGGCTAATTGATGCCATTTGGATAATTCATGAAGAATACTCGGTGGGACAAGGCCCAGCCCCTCAGGGTGATCTCCAGAACCCTGCACTGGCATCATATTCAGATTACGGCCCAGTGCTTAGCACAGTGTCTGCCTGGCACACAGCAGGGGCATAAACGGTGACTGGTCAGTTGATCAATTGTTCTCCAAGTGTGAGGTAGCAGAAGGGGCTGGCTGCTGGCAGCTCCAAGTACCTGTCTCACACTGAAGAATCGCTCTGTTCTCCTCATCCCTGTCTTGCTGGGCTTGTAACGGGATCACGGAACGGTGGGAGTGTAACCTGGAAGAAATGGGATCTGTTGAAGGCTTGGTCTGAAGACAAAAATGGCCCTAGGGGCATCAAAGAAGCTTCCTCCTCAGCCCACCCAAGCAGTGGAAGCACAGGGCCTTCTGAGGAGGGGGGAGGCTCTGACTCGTGGCCAGTTCATACAGGGACAGGGGATAAAGGGTCGTCAGAGCCAACCCCTCCAGCCAAGGAGCCAGAGCTGGCTGCTGCCCCCTCTGCCCATGGGGGCAAGGCCCCTCTGCATAAGAGAGCCCAGAATTCTGTAGGTGGGACCATAAGCAGACTGACTTGTGCAATACCCTTGTACCAAAACCTCATCCACAGCAGGCTGGCCAGGCCTGAGGGTCTCTGCTCCTGGTCAGGACCACTGTGGCTATTCTGTGGGACAGCAGCCTCGTCCATGCCCTTCTGGAGGACATTCCACCAGCAGGTGAGCACCATTTCTCTGCCCCAAATTCTGATTCAAGTCCTAGCAGCATAAAGTGGTGTCTTAGAAGCATCCATTTGATTACCCTAAGAATGGTACCCTCGGGTCTTCTCATGGAGAGAGAAGGAAAATACCAGATGTTCAAAACTCCCCCCAGCAGCCCCTTCCACCCTGGGGCAGCTCTCACTGGACCTCTTTGTCCCTTCCCTGAATTGTTCCTGGTTCTTCCCTCTGGACCTTGTAAAACAATTCTCCTTCCCCCTCCAAGGCCACGAAGGCCTCCAGAGGAGAAGAGAGAAGGCTTGGAGCTGAATAAGGAGAAGACATTGTCAAGGCAACTTGGAGGGATTTGAACTATGGAAGTAGATCTGCGGTTGAATTTGGGAAGAAGAAATCTGGCAAAATTTGGGAGAAATTGAGGGAAATCTGAAGAATCATCTTCAGGCCCAGACATGGGTTGAGATTCTACTTCTGGAATAGAAGAGAAGCCCAACTGAGTACAAGTAAGAAAGATCAAGGACCAAAAGACTGAAGCGGGAATGGAACTGGAGGTAAACTCAAGAAGATAAAGGAGAAAGTAGTTGGCAAGGCCAGGTAAGTAAGAAAAGGCAAATGGAAGATGGAGAAGGTTAAGGATGCACTCAGAACTGATTGATGTGAGGGGTGGACAGGGATGAGGGAAACTAGTAAGTGGCCAAAGGAAAGAACTTTGAGGAGGGTTATCTGGCAATGAAGACGGGATGAGTGGCTGGCTGGGACTGGCGTATACAGGAACCAGACAGCGAGGACGACTGTGCAGGGACTCTTGCCTCAGTGAGTCATGTTTACCAGCTCTACTGTTTACCAAGGCAGAGTGACCTTCCCCCTGGAGGAGAAGGTGAAGGCCCTTCAGGGACACCTCTCCACACTCCAGGTTGTGAGAGGTCAGAAAGGGCATCTAAAGCCTCAAGGGGAAAAGGGGAGAGGAGACTCTTGGCTCTATCAGGAAAAGCATCACCAAGACAGGGGAAGGGGAAGGACTGAGGAGCTGGTCAGGGACAGAGTGCCCAGGAAGGGGCATAAGAAGAAAGCAAGGGTGAGCAGCTGAGGCATCCTGCTCAGGTATGGAGGCAGCGCTTTGTCAGCCTCATAACTAGAGAGGTCTGCGATCTTCTTGGGCATGAAGACTTATTAAAGTGGATGGAGACTCCCTACTTCTGATGATTCCAGTAGGCACAGAGGAAACCTGAGGACTGCCAATCATCGTGACGTCTTTGGCCAGAAATAACGGAGTTGGCCAAGAAGTGGCATCTGGGCTTGGAGTTTCTGGATTGTGACTTAGCAGACCACTGGCCAGAGATGGAGCACACTTTAACAAAGGCTGGTCTGAATGTATGTGCCAGAGGTCTTGCAAATCTGCTCAGAAGGATGGGGAAGGGAGAAGACCATTAGTCAATTAGCATTTATTCAGCACCTACCATGTGCCAAGCATTGTGCTAAGTACTGGGTATACTTAGAAAGACAATGATCCCTGTCTCAAGGAGCTCACAGTCTAATGGGGAAGACAATATTCAAACTACTCTGTACAAAGTATGGGCAGAGAAATGGGGGGGGGTGATGTCATAGGGAAGTGAGGAAGATTGAGGAGGACCACGAAATGTTTCCTGTAGAAGGCAGGACTCTAGCCGAGACCTGAAGAAAACCTGGAAGGTCAGTAGAGTGTTCCAGGCACGAGAAACAGGCAGAGAAAATGCCTGGAGCTGAGAGATGGTCTTGTTCATGGAACAGCTGGAAGCTGGGTCACTGAATGGAAGAGCATGTGTTGGGGAGTGAGGTGGGAGTGGACAGGTCCTGGAGGGGACATGGCCCTGCAGAAATGGTGCCAGGCTGCACATGGAGGGGAAGGGGACATTCTGCTGCCCTCTGACACTTCCCCTGGAATAATGTCTTAATCTACAGATCCTGGGGATGAGCCGCTCAGCCCCTTCCCCTTAAAGTGACTTTCCATCTGCTCTGGTTTTCTTAGAAGTTCTGATTTCGAGGCATCATCTCCTCTGTTAGAATGTGGGTCTCTTGAAGCACAGAAAATTTTTATTTTGCCTTTTCTTTGTTTTGCAGAAGAGCCAGTCCAGGGCAGGGCTGATGGACAGCCATAGGGCCTGGCACATAGTAGGCATTTAATAAATGTTTATTGAGTGAATGATAGTGGGGAAGAGGCCGCTGAGGGTCTCTGCCACCTTTCTTGAAGGCCACATCATGCTGCTCAGGCAAATTGAGCCTGTGGGCCACTGCAACCTGAAGCTCTTTTTCAGAACAACTGCTGTCTAGCCCTGCCTCTCCTGCCCTCTCCTGGCGAAGCTGATTTTTTTCATACTCAACACATGCCCCTGTGGAACGTCGTCCTGTACAATACAGACCAATGCGTTCACTGGGCAAGATCTTTTTGGACCTGGACCCTGCCATGCGTTGTGTCGGGGACCCCTCCCCGTGGGATGTCCCCTGCAAAGGCGATCATGCCTTTATCCATCCAGAGTTACCCCTCCTCCCCCCGGCATCCGTTGCGATTCCCCAGTACCATCTTATTGCTGCGCTTGAGGCAACTGCCAGGCTTCTCCTGTTTCCTCTGTGTGACAGCGTGGGCTGGGCTGACTTTCTCACTGATCTTCCTCCGGAGAGGGTCTCTAACGTTAAAAGCCCACTTCCTGTAAACCAGTTCCCTTCTCCGGATAGTCAGCATATCTTGGTAGTCCAGATACTTGTACACGTCCTAGGGAAAAGTGAGATGGAGAGGCGAATCAGCGAGCTCTCCTCTCAGAGACAGGAAGCAAAGAGCGCGGCCTCTCCTCCTCTCCCCACATCCCTAATTCGCTCCCGATCTTCCCAATAGCGACGATTCCCAAATGCGTTTGTCCCTCCTCTGACTCCCGGCGGATGTTCCCTCGACGCTCCCTCAGGAGGCAACCAGCACACTTTGGTGTGCGGAAAAGTTCCCAAGTCTCTGCGGGATGGTGCGGCACCCAGAGCAGAGCCTGCGTCAAGTCCGCACTGACCATCGTGTGGCCCCGGACAAGGACCTCAGCGTCTGTTTGCTTTAGTTTCCTCATCTGTCAATGGGGACAATAATGGCACTCACCTCCCAGGACCGTTGTCCTGAGAGTGAACATGTGAAAGGAGCTTTGTGCATGCTGGTTCCAGTGATTCCTCTCAACATGTCCCCATTCGTGGCGTGGCTGTGGCTGGCACGTTGCTTTCCTGGTCCTGCTCCCTTCCCTCGGCATCGGTCTCTGAGCCATCCTCTCTGTCACCTGTGCAGCCCAGTGGGGTGATCAGTGGCGGTTCCCTGCTCTTCGAGCTCCTCACAGCCTGGCCCCAGCCCCCTTGGCCGCATGCTGGGATCCAGCCACACAAGCCTTTTCACTGTTCTGCAAACATGATGCTCCAGACACTTGTCTGCTTCATGCCCTGCACTGGCCATCACATGCGTGTGCACAGGCATGTGAGGGTGGAGAGCGCATTGAATCATTCCATCATTGGGTTTATCCTAGGCTCAAAAAGTCCCGAGTCCACTTAGAAGCTGCAAAACTTCATCACTGGACGAAATGGAGTGATGGTGCACAGGAAGTATATTTGGACTGGTGGAGGATGGAAAGCCAGTTCTTGACCTGGGAAGCCTTCCACAGGAGGAAGCCCTCAGCAGGGAGGGCAAGCCTCTGTCCAGAGGAGGGCCTGGGGAAATGTTCACCTCCCAGCAGCATCCTCAGAACAGCTGGGGCAGGTGTGTATCAGGAGCTGGAGGCCAACTGGACCTGCCATGGACTGGTGGCTTCACCGTGCCTGAGGGGAATTTCCAGAGCTCCCCAACGCGGTGACAAAAGACCTTCCAACAACCAGGATCCCTCTTTCTTTGCCCCGTGTGCCCTCTACACTGTAGGTACTGGTGGGAGAGCAATGCGTTTGGTCACTCTATGAGCTTTCTTAAAGCTAATTAGGTCTGGCTGATCATCTGGTGCCGACTGATAATGGTGAGCAGGAGCACCCAGATGGGGGCTTCCCAAGCTATAGTGCCCCTCCAAAAGCCATTCCACTGTCTTTGGATGTGTCCTTAGCAAGCAAACTTTAGGGAAGGGCTGCAGAGTCACACAAGAGGAAACTTCATTGGAAGTGATGGAATGTGAGCACACGGCAGTGGGCTGGAGACTCTTGTAGTGACAGCTGTTTCCCTATTCCTGTGGAAAAGTATGGAGTGATAGGGACCAAGGCCTGGCTTCCCAGGAGCAAGCTTGTCCATGCCCAACGGGGGCAAGAGGAGGCCTCTGGGAAGCTCCAGCCAATATGGGTCTCAGCGTATCAGCCATACATGGCTCACACACCATGTCATCTCCTCTCTGTGGCTTTGCAGAATGGGAATGCCCTCACCCCTCAGCCTCGCCTAGAACTCCTAGCTTCCTTCCAAGCACAACTCAGGGGCTGCCTCCCACACAAAGCAACAGTCTCCCAGAAGTCAACACTGGAATCACTGGACATTTGCTCTGCATAGATTTCTTTGTTTGTTTGTTTGTTTTTTGTTTGTTTGGCAATCGGGGTTAAGTGACTTGCCCAGGGTTACACAGCTAGCAAGTGTCAAGTGTTTGGTCTGAGGCCAGATTTGAACCCGGGTCCTCCCGACTTCAGGGCTGGTGCTCAGTCCACTGCGCCACCTAGCTGCCCCTCTGCATAGATTTCTCATGACTTCTCTCTGTACACAGCCCCAGTGGAATGTAAGTTCACTGGGGGCAGAGGCTGCATTCTTATACACCCCCCCCCCAGGAACATTCCTGGTACATGGTAAGTGCTCAATAAAAGCTTTTGAGACTGAATTTCCCAGGATGCCAATGTCCCCAGCTCCCTGCCTGACATGCACGCTCCAGATAACATGCATGCTGTGTTATACACTCACCTTCACGATGAATTTTTCTCGGCATAAAATCAGTTGGACAGCTGCATCAATGTCATATTTTGCCAGTGTCTAAAATGACAGAAGTAAATTCTATTCAGGAATAAATCCGAAAAACCTGAAAAGCCTCAGAATTACTGCCCCCCTCCCCCAAGCCAAGATAACACCATCTGTGGAACTCTGATTTACAGAAAAGACTTCCTGGGATGCAATGACTTCAAATTTACTAGAGACGCTTGGGATCCCAAGAGGAATCCTTGTCATCATCAAAGGTTTTTTTCTTTATCTCATGTAATGTATAAATATGATGCAAATTGTGAAGGACACATTTCATCAACTGATGGAACATGTCACACTCTGAGTGCATAAACTTGCAGTGAAATCTGTCTGACTCACTGTCAGTAACTAGCCAATGATCCAAAGAAAATTCATGCAACTATCCCAGAAATCCCGTGTCCAAGAACTTTCCAGTCTACATTGTTGAGTTCACCTATTTGGAGTCTTCTAGAAAGTGGGAATGAGAAGGGCTGATAAAGTTGCAGTCCCACAACTTTGGCTCCAAGTGGAGAGATCTGCAGAGGTTAGTGATTTGTGTATTTTGGTTGCATGTTATCTGTCTCTTGCACCTGAATAACTGATTAGACACAAAACACTGAACTGAAGCAATCAGTTTAGGGCATCTGCCAGTCTGCTAGTGCCCAGATGAACACGATGCTGTAATTCAAAATGCAGACACTACAAGGGCCTCCTCCATTTCTAGGAGAATACCAAGGCTAGGACTAGGGTTTTTTTTAATGTTGTGCTCCTTCACCCTGTTTCTTGTAGGCAAGTAAGCCAGAGACTTATCTAATTATCTGTCATCTGACATTACCCTTTTGTCCTAGCCATCACTAAATTCTTGTGAGGAATTGTGCGAATTTCTGATATGAGACTCAAATAACCATTGTTATCCATGCCAAAATAATGAGAAAATCTTGACATGATCCTAATTGTTTGCCATGGTCACTGCGTGAAATAATCCTGAGACTTCTTTTTGTAGTTGTCAGTGATTACTATGGGATCTAATAAAGTTGCTCCAGAACAAAATCCCCTCAGGTGTCTGCTGGCAAATTGGGGAAAATCCCAAAAGGGCTGGTCTGTCCAACTCTGTACGTGCTGAGCTCTGTTAATAAAACTAGCCAGCTGACATTCGTTCTACTGAACAACCCTGGCCACCCTACAGTACCTTTGAACAAACGTTAAAGGGTAAAGAGGTGTATTTCCCAAAACAAATAAGTTACTGATTTATATGGGTAAAGCTTCAAATGCATAAATTTTGTCAACCAAATTTAGAAAAATTAATGAATCCTTCTCCTGGTGAAAAGAAAAAAATATCTCCTTAGGGGGAAGGATGAGTGTTGACACTCTTTGTCACCTCCTCCCCTTTTTCCACCTTGGAAACCATTATCAGAAAAAGGGCTAGATATCATCTTTCAAACAATTAGCAAGGAATACTATTAAGTTAAAAAAGACAAAAAAAAAAGGAATTATCAAGGAAAACTCCACTGATATCCTAGAACCAGAGGGTAAAATAGAAACTGAAAGAATCAATTGATCACCTCCTGAAAGCGATCCCAAATGAAAACTCCCAGGAATATTATAGCCAAATTCCAGAGGTCCCAAATAAAAAAGAAAGTATTACAAACAGTCAGAAAGAAACAATTCAAATATTGTGCAGCCACAGTCAGGATAACATGAGATTTAGCAGCTCCTACATTAAAGGATTAGAGAACATGGAATATGATATTCCAGACAGCCAAAGGTGCTAGGATTACATCCAAGAATCACCTACCCAGCAAAACTGAGTATAATCCTTTGGCGGGGGGGGGGGGTGGACATTGAATGAGATAGAGGACTTTCAAGCATTCTTGATGAAAAGACCAGAGCTGAACACAAAATCTGACTTTCAAATACAAGATGCAAGAGAAGGCCAAGAGGGCAGAGAAAAGCCAGGAAGTTGCCTGGGCTCTCCCCAGTTTTCCTCAGAAACAACATTAAATCAAACCTCTAAAAAGATTCTAGAGCAACAGAACCTACAAACAGATGGAGTGACACAATTTTCCAGTTTAAGATAACTTAGAAGGACTTCAGGAAAGTCTGTTTCACTTGGGCAAATGGGGAGCACAGCCCAGAATAGGTATGTCCAGGCAAGATGGTGGGAAGCTTTTAGCCACAGCACAGATCAGCAGCTGAGGGCCCTTGGTCCTGGCTCAGCAGGTCAGTGGCACAGTAGACCAGCTGTGAGGTCTCCAGCCCCAGCACAGAAGGCAAATTGCCAGCCCAGGAACCCAGAAAACAACAGGCCTGACTAGGCCAGGCCACCACCAGCACCTGAGGCCCAGCACATAAAGCCAGTGACTAGACCCCTGGACCCCAGCACAAGAAGCTTGGGACAGTGGCCTCTGAGCCCAGGAACACAGCTCAACTTTAAAAGCCATGAAATAGGCAAAAAAGAGGAAGAAACAAAAAAAAGAGCCTGGAGCAGAGAAAGCTACTATGGCTACAGAGAAGATCAAAATACAAACTCAGAAGAGGACAACATTGTCAAAATGCCTACATGTAAAACCTCAAAGGGGAATATGAACTGGTCTCAAGCTCAAAAAGCCTTCTTGAAAGAACTTGAAAAGGATTTTAAAAGTCAAATAAGAAAGGTAGAAGAAAATTTGGGGGGAAAAATTAGAGGTATGCAAGACAGAGTCAACAGTTTGGAAAAAGAAGGACAAAAATTGACTGAAGGAAACAATTACTAAAAAATATATAATTGGCCAAATGTGAAAAAAAATCCAGTGAAGAAAACTCCTTAAAAAGTAGAATTGGCTAAATGGAAAAGGAAGTAAAAAAGATAACTGAAGAAAATAATTCCTCAAAAATTAGGATTTGGCAAGTGGAAAATAATGACTCCATGAGACAGCAAGAATCAGTCAAATAAAATCAGAGGAATGAAAAAATATATAAGAAAACATAAAATACCTCATTGGAAAAACAACTGACCTAGAAAATAGATCCATTGGAGATAATTTAAGAGTTATTGGACTGTTTGAAAGCCATGATCAAAAAAAGGGCCTAGACAGCATCTTTCAAGAAATTATCAAGGATAACTGTCCTTATATGCTAGAACCAAAGGGGGAAATAGTCATTAAAAGAACCCAAGATCTAAAACTATAATTATAAAGTAGCAATCATCAAAATTATTTAGCACTGGCTAAGGAATAGAGTGATAGATCAGTGGGATAGATTAGGTACATAAGACACTGTAGTCAATGACTATAGTAATCTATGTTTGATAAACTCAAAGCCTCCAGCTTCTGGGATAAGAACTCACTATTTAACAAAAACTTCTGGGAAAATTGGAAAACACATAGACCAACATCTCACAGCATATACCAAGATAAGGTCAAAATGGGGACACGATTTAGATATATAGAGTGATGCCATAAGCAAATTAGGAGAGCAAGGAATAGTTTACCTGTCAGATCTATGGAGAAGCAAAGAATTTATGACCAAACAAGAGATAGGGAACATTATGAAATGCAAAATGGTTAATTTTGATTACGTTGAATTAAAAAGGTATTGCACAAACAAAGCTAATGCAACCAAGATTAGAAAGAAAGCAGGAAGCTGGGAAACAATTTTTACAGTCAGTGTTTCTGATAAAGGCCTCATTTCTCAAATATATGGAGAACTGAGTCAAATTTATAACAACATAAGTCATTCCCCAATTGATAAATGATAAAAGGATATGAGAAGGCAGTTTTCAGATGAAGAAACTAAAGCTATCTATAATCATATAAAAAATTCTATAAATCACTATTGATTAGAGAAATACAAATTAAAACAATTCTGAGGTACCAGTTACACCTATCAGATTGGCTAACATGACAAAACAGGAAAATTATAACTTGCTGGAGAAGGTGTGGGAAAATTGGAACACTAATGCATTGTTGGTGGAGTTGTGAACTGATCCAACCATTCTGGAGAGCAATTTGGAACTATGCACAAATGGCTATAAAATTGTGCATACCCTTTAATCCAGAAATATCGCTTCTAGGTCTGTATCCCAAAGAGATCATAAAAATGGGAAAAGGACCCACATGTACAAAAATATTTATAGCAGCTCTTTTTGTTGCGGCAAAGAATTGGAAATTGAGGGAATGCCCATCAGTTGGGGAATGGCTGAACAAGTTGTGGTACATGAATGTAGTATAATACTATTGTGCTATAAGAAATGGAAAGCAGGTGGATTTCAGAAAAAACCTGGAAAGACTTATACAAACTGATTCAAAGTGAAACGAGAAGAACCAGGAGAACGTCATACACAATAACAGTAGCGGGGCAGGTAGGTGGCACAGTGGATAGAGCATCGGCCCTGAAGTCAGGAGGACCTCAGTTCAAATCCGGCCCCAGACCAAACACTTAATACTTACTAGCTGTGTGACCCTGGGCAAGTTACTTAACCCCAATTGCCTAAAAAAAGAAAAACAACAATAACAGTAACATTGTGCGATGATCAGCTATGATAGACTTAGCTCTTCTCAGCAATACGATGATCTCAGATAATTCCAAGAGACTCATGATGGAAAATGCCATCCACCTCCAGAGAAAGAACTATGGAGTCTGAATGCAGATGGAAACATACAATTTTCACTTTTTTTCTGTTTTTTCTTTCTCCTGATTTTTCCCTTTTGTTCTGAATAGTTCTTTCACAACATGACTAATGTGGAAATATGTTTAACGTGATTGTGCCTGTATAACCTATATCAGATTACTTACTGTCTTGGGGAAGGGGAAAGGGAAGGGGAGGAAGGGAAGTAAATAACAATTGGAACTGAAAATATTATAAAGGTATATGTTGAAAGCTATCTTTACATGTAATTAGAAAAAAAAATAAAATATAATTAAGTAGAGAAAAAACAAGTTAGAACAACAGATATATTGGTGTGCCAAAAATTTTCCATCTTCAGCATCTCTGCAATGCAGAAGCTCGTGTCCCACAGATTTTCTCCTTAGGCTGAGCTGATATAGTGAAAATGATG